CATTTTCCAAATCTGATCTTTCCAAAGGCCAGTGATGGTGGTGGTGCTTTGTGGTGGTGGGGCTCAGCTGGGGCCCGGTGTTCCTGGTCACTGAGAGATGCCAGAGCAGAGCCCAGCGTTGCTAAGCCCCAGTGTGGCTTTGGATGCTGTTGGGATATTCCATTTGGAATGTCACACTGGATCTCGGGGCACCCCTGGCCTAAAAGAGCCAGGCTGCCCTTCTGGGACAGAGTCCTTTCCACAGACCCAGCAGCAGCCAGCTGTCCTSACACTGAAAAGGCTGGTGAGCCATGGCAAATGGAAACAGGGCTGGGGYTCAGCTCAAGGAGGCCTGTCTGAGAGGCAGCTTTTCCCAAAACTTGAGAAAAGGTCAAGGCACGTGGAGCTGGCACTCTGGGACAGCCCTACTGCTCRTAACTCATGAAACCTTCACTGTGCAAAACCATTCTCAGCTTTCTCCTCCTTTCCAGGAGAAACTGAAACTATTTCAACTTTGCAAAAATACCTGAACATCACACTTAGCTTATTGTAGACCACTGACACTTTCACCTCTGTCTCATCAGACCCTAAAAATAACTATTTTTTTTTTTTTTTGTCTCCAAAACCTTGCTATCTCTCCAATCTTTCCTCTTATTGCTTTTGGACCTCCAGCTCTTGTGAGTCACATCTACAAATTACATGGCTCAGATTTCAGTGGTGACCATCTCAGAGTGGCTGGTGGAAAAATTCACCATTAGTTCATGGGTTTTTATTTGGTCCACGGCCTTGCTGTGGTGAGTCTTTGCCATTTCTCTTTTAGTTTTTAAAGACATTTAATTGTATGTTGRCATTCAGGTCCAYTGTAARGAAAACTTTCCTCTSATGGCCTTGGAAGTTTTATTCACCRGAGYTGAAYAAAACMACACCGAAGTTGTTCTTAAAGCAGAAAGAGGAGTTTTAAGTTCTGTGTGGGGTMTGAAGGTAACAAACAACACGAGGARCGTGGCAGGCRGAGCAGAGGTGACAGGCACAGACGGGGACAAGCTGTGGGAAGTGTGGAGGTGCCTCCAGCTCTGCCAGGAGTTCGCAGGGACACCCAGACAAGATGCACTTGCCATGCGGAAGGTGACACAGGAAACATTACGTTTCCCAGAGCCGTGGCAGGGAATGACAAAGAGTGTCCTCTATGAGCTCAGATGCACAAAAAGGAAAGCGTTTTGTCAGCTGCAGCTTCTGACAGAATGAGGATTGTGGGCTCCTGCATTCAAAACCAAATTTCCTTCAATTGGCAAGCGGCTCCTGGTGCCGCTGCGGAGAGTCCTTCCAAGGCTGGAACGAGGGAATTGACACCACGCTGAAAACAGCAATGAAATCACCCGGCTTCCTTCCTCCCCAGCCAGGCTTTGTGCCCTCTGAGCCTGGCCTGGGCACCGCCAACASCGCCCGCCGGAGCGGCCCTCGCACAACACGGCCATTGAAGGGCTCCTGCTGGCCCGCCAGTGATTTATGGCACGCAGGACAGATTCTGATGTGTCATGCTGCAGGGGGAAAGGAGAGCAGCACCGGGGTCATGAACAAAAAGGAATTTGCTTATCCGATTTCCGTCTCTTTCTGAGTTCGATTGGAASTCGCAGTTGTCAGGCTGTGTTTAAGTCTCGTCTTTACCAACGCCTCCTGAACTGCGGAAGGTCAAAACCAATTATTGTTTTGCCTCCGGGGAYTTTCCTTCTTCAGAGGGACCTTACAGTGGATATTCTCTAATTCTTCCAATTAAGGCAGCAAATTCCTCTTTTAGAGAATTTTGCAGGGGGTGAGTGGGACAGTAATCRGGAGAGACTGATAGATTTATCAATAGCCTTGAAAAACAAAGCCTGTATGTCTCGGCAAGCTTGAAGTCTAACTCCTTTCAATGACTTTTCTCACTCTGAACTTTAAATCTGTCATGTCATTACACCGGGAATGGAAAGTCCCTAATTTTCCCAGGCTACAGATTTCCTCTGTTTTTTAACCTTCAAATACCACATGGATTTATGCCCCTGAGTACCTGCCGGTTAAGTTTCTCATGTAGATAAAAATATTGAGGTTCTCTTTTTGGAAAGAATTTACAGCTTTATGGGCTGGAGGCAGTTGAGAGAGGCTGTACCTAAATCAGCAGTTGTAGTCTGACTAGTCATGAAAAAGCCTTACAGGTCTTAAGAATGAAAAGAAAAAACATCCTAAGATAGTTTTAGATTTTTCTCTCTTTCCTTTTTATTTTGGTTAGCATTGTTTTCAGTTTTATTGACAATATCTCTTCTTGTGCTCCAATCCATTTATACTATTAAATCCTGTATCAGCTGATGGATTTTTAAAATTCATTTCAGTACCACATGCTTCTGTACTTATTTCTTTATCCATTGGAGGGGTTAAATCTACTGCTTCCCCTGTATTTTGCATGTACCATTTGTTGTGGTACATGAAAACAATGTCTCCTGCAAGAGAAAATCCAGTGTAAGGTCAGGGGAGGAGGCTGTGGAGGAACAGTGAGTACAGGAAGCAATACTTTGGTACTGCAATTGGTACAGCACATTTCCAAACACTTTGAAATTGTTATTTGTACCAGGATGAGTTGTGAAACCACAGCCCAGGTGTGGGATGKAACCCCTGTCCTCACCAGGTATTTCTGTGTGCTGCAAGGTTTGGGTGGGTGCTGGCTTGGCTACACTGGCTGCTCCCATAAAAATACTGGATTGTGGACAATGGTGAAGGAAATCTGTTTTTCTGGAGCTGGCAGATTTAAGAGTCTTGATTAAATGAATTCACAGCTTCTCTGCAGAATTGCAGAGCTATGATGATGTGATTATAGGGCAGCTGTGGTCTGGTGGCCTCACAACCAGGACAGAAATTAGGAAATGTGAGTTGCCTTGATCTGCCACAGTTTATTCTGTGAGATCCTGGGCCGGTCACTTAAAATGTTTCAGCTGCTTTTTGACAGACCTACTTTGGATGTTTACTTTTGGAGGACTCAGCTCACTCTCTTGCCCACAGAGAGTGGACTGTCTGGCTGAAATGCTCAGGTTTCCATCCCAGACGCCTGCATTGGATCAGATAATGGGGCTGACACTATTTGCAGTYGGTTTATAAGGGGTTAATCTATTCTGAATGTCTTGATCAGTCATTCCACACAAAGTTGAATAAATCTCAGGRGTCCTGATAAATGACTTGCCATTTACTGTTCCCTCTGTGTGTGTAACAAGAGTCAGCCAGGTATTAATCCTTTCTAAAACATTTATAAATAAAACTCGAATCCGGAGTGTGGCTGAAATACGCTGAGGTATGACTGGAAGCAGAGGTGCAGAGCACTGTTTTCCTGTGACACGAGGCTGCCCTTAGCCCTGGGATCACATCTGGACACMCATCACAGCAGCGTTACCCAGGAATAATTTATCAGTTGAAAAGAACGATTCCCTTTTTTACCCGGAGTGAAGAAAATCATCCGACTCCAATAATAACTCRCTAATCTCACCCCACCGGAGCGGAGCAGAGAGCGCAACGGAAATTTCCTTCCCAGCTGCTGGGAGAGCCTGTCCCAAAGAGGGCTTTTCTTTTGATAAGGTGTCTCCTGCTGAACCAGCCTGAATCAGCACGTCACCCTGGAGTGCAGGAAGATCCCGGTCTCCGCCGCTGAGTCACATGAATAACTGGAATAGTTCTGCAAAGCAGAATTAATTCCCAGAACCTCTTCAGGCTTATACCAGCAGGCACATGCTTTTGCTCCAGCGTTACTTTACAGCTCCGTGAGGTAGTGGAAAGGACACTAACAGATATTTTTAATAGAGATAAAGCAGTTTACCTGGTGTTAAGAGTGTTAAACCTTACAAGTTTATTGTTGACACTCTCCTGCTTCCAAGAAGATTTAGGAATAAGCCGGGACATAACAGAGCTATTAGGGTTAAGCTCAAATCAACTGTGCAATGACTCAGAGCTTGTAGTCCTTTCAAACCAAGTGCTGGGGGGAGAAGCTGATTATTATTAACTATTGAGTAGCTCGTGGTTTGTGCAGCCTGTTTAGCCAGCAGAGACATCTATGGAAACTCTCTGGGGGTTTTGATCTATTATACTGTGAAAAAAAAAGGTCTGATTTACAAGAAAACCAAATCAACAGCACTGAGAYTGTGGTTTAGCAAAGTCCTTAGACTACATGCTGGAAATTTGTGCAGAGCTGTGAAATTCTCTTTAGAACTTTTCAGTAAATGCTGCCGGTATGTTAAAAAAAATTAACTCGTCTGAAACAGGGGAGTGAAGGAAAAAGGCTCTGTAGCAAAGGTAGAATMCAGGTGCTACTCCAAAAAGTGAACCAGGGTAGGGAGGCTGAAACAGGGAAATAGGATGAACTAGAATCATAGGAAAGCAAGGAGAGGGTTAGTGGTTGRTGAAAATTTCTGAGATTTTTTTCCATTTAAGCTGTATTTTGTTATCTGAATAATAATGATAAGCTGACCAGACACACAGAAACAGCACTGCTTGTRCTTCCACCTGTTGCTCTGGAATACATCACAAATGAATACAGGATAACCTGTTCTGCACTCCAGCATCATTTATAACAGGAACTGATGGCTTTGATTTCTGCTCTCTCTTCATTAAAATCAACATTTTTGCTGTTTATCCAGACAGCCTGATGTGGGGTTAATCTTGACCTTTTACTTTCAGCGACCATCACAAAAGAACATGAAATCTAGAAATTCAATGCAACTGAGAAGCACCACTGAGGMAGAGCTCCAAGCCCTGTTTTTAGAAGTCTGGATGTCTGTACTTCATGTTTTGCCCACTGATGAACTTGTGCCACTTCCTTGGGCTCCAAGTCAGTACCTTTCCCTGTGGCATATCCAAAATGAACKCTCCCCAAACCCAAACGTTATTTCCGACATCTGTTGCTTGTTTGGATGGCAAAATTTGTGATAACAGTGAGAAGAAAGTAAACAGTCCGGTAGCCATGGAAACCTCATATCGTTTTTTCCTGTTTCTTTTTCTGCTTTTTGCAGTGAATGAGTTGGTGCTGAATCCAGCTGGATGGCAGCCCGGGAGACGGCCGTCCCCAGCTCAGCCACAGCAAGGGACAAACCCAGGCCAAAGCCAGGAGCTTTCTCTCTGCACACTCTCACCCAAGGGCTATTTTCAGGGAGGAACTTTTTTTCAGGAAGAGTAGTTCAGTGCCTCAGGAAGGGTGACCATTCATTCCCTGGTCTCTCTGGCTATGGGTAGAAAATAAAATAAAACAACACAAAGTAGCGTACCATGACTCACATCCACATGATTCAACCCTTTCCCCCCATTCCTGCATCCCAAGCAGGTGGCCCCATGTAGATGGTCTACAGGGAACAATCCTTGGTTTTTGATGTATTCCAAGGCATCATCTGGGAGAGCAGTAGCTGTTACAGGCCAGAGCCATGACAGGAGGGTTCTAAYAGTGACACAACATAGGAGATCATGGATCCAAACTGTGCCCTTCTCCATCTGCATTTACATCACAGATACARCCTCTGTGAAAGCTGTGAGCAGGGCCTTTGTGGTTTAGACAACAGATATGGCAAAGCAGTAAAGCTCAGTTAATATTCCAAAATAAAGCAGGACAGGTATTTATTGTAGAAAAGTCCCCAGAGTGCCACAGTTAGTGTTATGCCCTTTCTATAAAATTTTACTACCAGTTTATAGAATTCCACAGAGAAGATTATCAAGGTGCAATCTTTGTTACATTCCAGTCCAAATCTCTGTGTGGCTTCTAMGTATGTGCAGTAAGTGTGTCTCTAAATGGACTTGTCCCTGGTCACATGGGCAGTGTGTCATGCCAGAATTGATATCATCATTGGATTATCCTCCTTGTTAGCACTTCAAATCTCTGTAATGCACTTTGAAGTCTTCAGAGGAAGAGCTTCATGGGAATATTTGGGGAGCCTGATTCAGTTCTTAATTGGACTGACTCATGTTGARTCACCAGGATATCCATTAGCTGCATCTTTAAAATCCAACACCGACATGCAGATTTTCAGTGGTCTGGGAGGGACTCAGACACCCCCAGCAGCTCCTGAGATTCCCTAGGATTGGGATATCTGCTTCAATTGTAGAAAGTGCTGATTTCTGCTGCAGCAGCCAGCACAGCTCCAGCTGCCAAATCATCCCATTGCTCTATTCTCCTGATGCCTGGATGACCAACTGCTTGCCAGGAAGCTCTTGGAAATATTCCCCCCTCCCTGTCTGCGGCATCACTGGCATCTTTTACACACAGGGAACCCACCACACCCACACCTCCCATCTTGGCGACCAAGATGGAGCCAAAGTTTAAATGGAGCAAAGTTTAAAATGCAAGGAGCATTTTCCTTTTCATTTCTAGGAAAGGCTTCTTATTCCGTAAATGCTCCTTGAACAAAGCAGCAAAAGGCAGTGAGTAAAGCATCTGATGACTAAAATAATTGAGGTTGTGGGAAGCAGCAGGATTTGATGTCAAATACAAATCTGAGTGTGGTTCACTTCACCCAACTCCAGCCATCTGAAGTTAAGCATTCAGCCTAAACAAGGCACCCAAGCCCTGATCTGTTGGCAGAGGGGACGAGCACTGAGAGCTGACTCATCCCCTCACTTTGTTCTGCTGTGCTGAAATGAGTTGTCCTTTGAAGCTGCTTCCTAATGCCACTTCCTAATACTCAGCAAAATATRTAGAGAATCTGGAGTGGGCAGTTCACTGATGTTAAACAGCTAACCTTAGGTAAGATAAAGCTAAAATTGATACATTGCCATGTGCCCAGGACCACAGGTCCATGGGATCAGCAATTCCATGATTCCATGGATGCCAGCAATGCTTCACTGAACCTCGTTACAGTCTGTCCATGTATTCAGAGTTTCTTGGCAACTCTTTTTTCCTTTATACGTGGCATTTGTAGCAGATTTTTGGCTTATTACCACTCCTTTTAGGGAAGGAAAAGGGGAGACAACGCTACAGCCCACCTTGTGAATCTCTGTCCTATAAGTCTCTTTCCTAGAGGAAAAAAATACTTGCTTCCTTCCATTACAACAATAGCACAGAATGGATGGCAGAGGAGAGAATGAGAAATTCCAGTTTTTAGGATAATGAAGGAAAAAAATTGGGCCACTCAGTCATAAAATCAAACTTTGGCAAACTTGGCCAAACCCACATGTGTTCTAGACCTACTTTACTTTTCTTTGAGGATGCAGAGAAGGATCTACAAATCCCAGTAGCATTATGGGGCTGCTGAAATTTCCACCAGGTAGATTCAATATGAGACAAGAGTTGCAAACCTTTGTTTGATGGACTAAAGAAAATCAGGGTGTTTGCAAAATTAAAGTACTAACACTACAGCCTTATCTAGGGTGTGAWTTTGCTTTTTCATTTTGATAAGATTGGAAATCTAAAACTAAGAAAGTGAGTTCTTAGGCTCGCTTAAAAAAACCCACTAAACAATGTAAATGATCTGTGACAACTCTCTCTGAGCAGCAGAAGGTTTGACTTGAGAATAACTGAGCAATTAAATATTGAATATAATGAGAATAATTTCTTTGTGTTYCTTACGACATTTCTTGGTTAATTATATCATGCGTCTGTTGAATATGTAAAGCTTGCTGCTAAAAATGTTCCACTTCTAAAATTAATAAAAGTATGTCAGAGAAGGAGATGTCTCGTGAATAATACCAGAAATGTTACAAATAATGACGACYATGGAGCCAACGGGCCTACTCCCACAAGCAGAAATTATCAGGGATGAATAAGAATTGTGGGATGACAACTGTAGTACTTTAAATCTTTGAAAACACTTCACACGTTTTCACCCTAGAGACACCTCGAAACAACAGCAGAGAGGTGCAGGAGCTCATCCTGTGCTGTTCTCTCCAAGATCCCTTTGTGATGATTTCAGCAGGGCTGGGATCAGCCTGTGGAAATGGCCTGAGCTTGAGCTGGGTGTCAGGGGCAGGATGAGCTCAGGCTCCTGCCCTCCTGCTCCATGCAGCTCACTCAGACCACTGAGGTTTAAAAATGGGGGAGGAAAATCCAAATGAAAARGCACAAAGATGCAGAGGTGGCAGGAGAGGGGACGAGCTGAGAAATGGTGCCTGGACCAGCTGGGTGGGCAGAAATGGCTGAGCTTTGGCATCCAGAGCTTCATGGCTGTGTCAGAGCAGGCAAACGGGCAAAAAGGGCAAGTGAGAGAGGTGTCATGTGCAGCAAAGGCAGTGAGGAAATTCATCTGAGCAGCTGCATTTCCCTGCATGTGCTGTGTCCTGCCACAACCACTGCACGACAGAGCTGGGATGTACTGACTCTGAGTTTGTTGAGGAACTGGTACAGAGTGGGACAGGGGGTACTACAAGTTAAGAATGGCTGGGTCTGTTCCTCTGGGCAAGAACCATGGATATTTTTTCCCTGAAATAACCCTTTCCCCTTCTTCTTATACTTAAGACCTTGTTCTTACTGACAGCAAAGGGAATTGCCATAATATTTCTTCAGGTTTCGCTGGGTTTTCACCTCTTACTCTATTTTTGACATCAAAGAGGTTATTTTTAGGGCTTATTTCTTAACAAACGTTTTTCAGAATTAACTTTTAGTGCTAAATTAATGTGCTTGCTCTGTGCCTCTCAGTGAGAAGGCGAAGGTGGGCCATGAACACCCAACATTTGAACAGGTTCCTGGTGAGTGCCTGAATGCTCATTTTCCCCTTGGAAAATGGAAGTTTGCTCACTTCTCTTTTCCTGAAAGCAGTTTATTTTATGTCTACTGAAAAGAAAACAGCAAAGCATTAAAGCCTTTGTAAGAAAATTTTTCTCCTCCTTTCAGAAGTTCATTTCTGCCCTTGTGCTGCAGGTTCCTGTCTCCTCTTGGTACCAGTCCAACTGTGTGTGGAGCTGTGCTTTAAATTAAATCATGGACATAATCTGGGCTAAAGAAAGCAGATAAACCCCCTGACTTTTATTCATTTTTTTTTTTTTTAATTTGGATTATTTCAATGATCCAGTTCTAGGTGTAATTATAAATTTTGGCAAGATTAGCTCAGAGGAAGAAGCAAAGGATGGGGAAAGCCTTGCTGTTGTGATAAGGTGTCACTAAATGCTGACAGTGTGTGTTTCCTACCCAGCAGCTGAAATGCTTCASTTTCACCCTGTATCTTACCTTTTTTWAAACTTGTTTCTGTATTCCCAGCTAAGGCTCACTGGTAGCTGTTGGTTGTATCTTGGGAAATCTCCCGAAATGTGTTCCATGAAATAACTTCAAACTTCACTAAAGCTTTTTTGACTTGAAGACCTGAGCCTGCTTCCACTGTCAGAAATGACAGAACTCTCTGATAGCGAGGCTGCCATGAAATTGAAAAGTCACTGTAAATGCTTTAATACCAGYGGATTTAAGGATTTCCTCAAGCACTTTATAGTTATGTTCCCAGCTTTGTCTGTGTTTCACTGTCAATTGTCTACTGTTCTCCCTAATCCTCCCTGGGCTTTCTGGAGTTTTGTCTTCCCTTCCCRCTGACAGATAAAAATTTATTGTTGCTCCCTTCAATGATCTTGACATAGTGAGATCTCATTCCTTTCACGTAAACATAGGAATGATTTGGTGTGTTAGTCTTGGATTCTCTAAAGATAATTAATTCAATCTATTATTCTGTTCCTCTTAGCAACCCATCATCTGAGCTTCTAATTACTCTAACCTTACTGCTTAATTAGTTAAATCTCCCTCAGCCCTTAGAACACTGAAAGTGTTAATTACTTTTGCAACATGATTATTTTATATTTCTGAACAATTGGCATCTGGATGTTTTAACCTTCTCTAATATCCATTGATGGAGCAGTGTCCCTGTCACTTCCCTCCAGAAACCAGAGATGCAAAAACCATTCATTGAGTAATTTCTCTAACATCATTTGGTTTCTGACAGGCAGAGATTTAGCATCTTCTTTGCCTCAGCTTTCCCCACTTTCTGCTATGGATTCTTTTCAAGTAGTTGCTTAAATGGATTCCAGAAAAACTTGGGAACGGTGCTGCTGATGTGTTTGCCTGTGGCAGAACCCCCTGCCYGTACCAGGAATGCATTCGTGATGCACTGGCTTTCATTTATGCATGGAGGGACTGAAATTCAGCTCACCTTGGTTGATTCTGATTACAGAATTCTGTCTTCTGTCCAGGAACAGGAAATGTGGAAGAGCTGTCCTGTGTTGGGCTTTGTCAAGGGAAGCAGAACGGGCTGTTACAGATCATGAAGCTCTGTGAATATTCACCCTGAAGAACTAAACAACCCCCCTCTGAACTTAATCTTTGTGAAGTCAACAGTATTTTATCTGCAAAAGAGATGTCGATTTATTATTCAATAGTAGTCATCAAGTGATTCTRGTATCTGTTCTTGTGAATCACTGGTATTCTCCAGGACTGTAACTTTTAAATGTCAGCTCTTCACATCTCTGCCTGTATCTGCCACCTCAGCCACCTCGTTTTGTTTCCTTATCACAATCAGTTAACTCCCAAACCCACAAGGACTCACAGCTTCAGGAAGGCTTTTTCTTTTCCTGAGGCTGATTYAAGCAAAGAGATCTGTGTGAATACTCACAACAAAGCCCTCTCTGAACACACTGCCTCTGTAACTCTGTGGTGAACAAAGTGAGAATTTGGCTGAGGTAAATGTAGTTCCTGTGCACGTGAACCTTGGTGTTGCATGTGACACCAGAGCTGCAAGAGGTGTCAGTGAGAAAAATATTTCAGTTTCTAGTCTACACTAACTTTGAGACATGGAGAAATTATGACAGTATTAGAAATAGGGAGTTCTTCAGGCTCAATTTTCAAGAAACCATTACAGTCCTTTTTTTTCTGATATAATCCCCAATCTTTTCCTACTCAGCTTTGATAATAAATATCCCTTGAGGACAGCAAACATGAATCTACTGTTGGAYAAGGGGTTTTAATGATTTCATTTAAAGTGCTGTTCATTCAATYCTTGCAATCTGCCCATCTCTTTCCTCAATTCCTTATGTTTTTACTCCAAGAATTCTCCCTTCCAATTAAGTGAATGAAGCTTAGAATTAAGTAAGGCTGTCATAGGAAGTAAAATGAATATGATGGATTTTTATAATATAAATTGGAAGCAATTACCAGTTTTCTATCTTCATTTTTGCTTGGAAAATTTACACTTAACCCAGCAATACACCTTAATTAAAGGCCTATCTATCTATCCATGTAACCTTCTCTTTCTAGGAAGAGTTCTGCAGGCTATATTAAATTTACTACAGGTTCATCTGTTCGTTAATAACCTTTTTGTATATTTTCAATTAAGTTTCTGGTCACATTATAGCACTGAGGTAAGAGTTCTGTCTGACCTTTAATAGGGTACAGATAATAGAACATCTTTGGCTCATGTTCTCCTTTGGTAGCACAACCTTCYGCTTCTACTAAAAACAACTCTGGAATTTGCAGACAGCTAAATGTGCTCCTTGCATGAAGAAATTCTATTCCAGACTGCAATAAAACTGGATGGACATCCATCCCCATTCCCTGAGACCAGACAGTGCTGGAACAGCCTCRCTTTGTCTTGGTTTTATGGCAAACACCAGTGGGAAACTCTGAACGGCCCTCTCTATAAGATAAAAATGCTTTATTTTGACTGCTGTGTTCCCTATGGCAAGTCAAGCTTCTCCCCACATGAACCCAAAGGACTGGACTGTGGGGTAAAGGGTGATAAGGACCACTCATATCTGCATTCAGAGGTCAATGTTCTGGTACTTGGACACTGAGTAGAACAGGCAATTAATGATGTAGAGTGATAAGGGATGTTTGTGCTCCCTTGAAGCCCACAGGATTTTGGGGTGGGAAGGGCATATTTGATATCCAGCCAGRGTTTTGTCAATATGAATATCTGAACCAGCTGCTTTTCTTGCTGTTCTCCCATGGCTGGATTACTCTGTTCTTCTTTATGTCTTTGTCCTTTTTCTTTTAATTTATAGCTCATGATGTTCTTATGAATTTCTGAACTTATGCCAGAATATCACATATTTGTCTTTTGATAGGGGATTATCATTTAACTTCCTTGAGAATGGAACCCCCAGCTCCTCTTCAGCTCCATTTTTTTGTTCGCCAATCAGACTTTCCCTAATTTAGTAAAAAAATCAGAAGCTGGAAGCTGGCAAAGCACAAAGGGGACACAGTCAGTGAAATCTGCCAAGGTGGCATCTCTCTGCATTAATTCCTTTTGATATTTTTGTTTCCCTGGRTGAGTGCTCAGGAAACCTCATCTGGCATGTCCACATAAAGTGGGGTCTGAAGATCACAGCAGTAAATTTGTCCCAGATGAGGCAGGGCTGGGTATTTCAGATGGAGAGCTCCAACTGTGGCAAACCCTGAGTGGATGAAGAGGGAAGAGCTCTGGGATGGGCTGGGCTCAGGGCAGGAGTGACTCAGGCTTATTCCCACATGGGATTGCCCCATTGCTTKGAATGCTTTGTTCAGTGAATTTCTGGTGGAACCTGCTGGTAAATGTGCTGTATCAAAGGCTTGTGGAGCAATATCTTCCTTCCCCAGGCGGGTGCTTGGCTTCCACAGGGCTTTGGAAGCAGCTGAGATCCGCAGGTAACTGAGGTTTCCGAGGTGGCCCTTGCCCTGCAGCAGCAGAATCTGCCAGTCACTGTCTGGGCTTCATCCTGAGTCAGCAGGACTCATGTTCTGCAAGCTGAAAAGGGATTCTTCATCATCTTCATCATCATCATCATCTTTTGTTCCCCTGTCATGATACCACCTTCAGCTYTACCAGTATTTCCAGCCTGGCCCACCCATCCATCATCATCTTTCACAATTATTTCCATCCTTCCTTCTGTGTCACAGCCTTTGTTCCCTGTGTGAACTCCCTGATTTTTGTCCACCAGGCTCTGAATCTTTTAATATTTAGTCTCTCTTAAATACACATTTCAGCTYGTTTTCCTACAGAACTAATTTTACTTCTACACTCATCAGGTTTTGTTCCCACTCTGCTCCACACTTTTTACTTCCCTATCTGTCCTGAGAGTGTGGGATGAGGAACAATCCCTTGTTTAACATGCAAAGCATGCAAACACATGCTAAATAATTATGCAAATATTTTTCAATTGCTTTCATTGTGATTTTTATTACCATTGTTTTGKTCTTACCATGGAAAGTGGAAGCCAGTGAGCCCAAGTGTCTGAGTGGAGCTGGACTAGAGCCTGAATTTCCCAATCCCTGTTCAGGCTAGAGCACATGCCTGTCTCCTCTGTATGCTCTCCCCTGGAAAATTTTTATTTACAGAAACAGAAGATCTGGAATTTGCATAACTTTGTAGCAGCAGTTCCTGCAGTATGCTT